TGCCAAGTCGGTCCCCTTCTTGTGCGTCTTGCTGTTCTGCGGGTCATTGACGGCGGTGGTGATCTGGGCCCGAGCGCATATCAGTTTCTCCCGCGGCTCTTGGGCAGGGTCACCGAGCGCGTTGGAAACGGAGGGCGCCGCGTTGCCGTGCCTCGCCAGCAGGCCCCGGGAGCGCATTGACGGCGGGTGTCCTCTCTGAGGAGGGCTTCCGGCGCGTTGGCCCTGCGCGGGCGCCCGACGCCGAGCTCCCGCGCGTGAGAGAAACCAGCCCCTTGGCGACGCGCGGCGCCCCTGCTTGCCGCGCCGTGGCCTCTCCCCTGCGGCTCGTCTTCTCGCGGCTGCGCCTCTCCGGGCGCGCGCGCCGGCCGTGGAAGTCGCGCGGGCGGCTTTCGCGCGCAGGACGTGCCGCGTCGAGCGTTGGCTCCTCAGCGCAATACTTCTTCCACCGAGCGAAATACGCAGTAGCAAATCTGGCACGCAGCGCCAAGAGAGAACGGGCACATGCGAATAAAGAGACCAGGCGTGACGCGGGAGAGGTTCGCCTTATGTTGACGGCTGCGGCCTTGCACCAGACGTGCGTCTCCCGTCGATGCATGGCTGCCCGCTGTGGTGCCCCAGCGCTCCGCTGCTGCTGGGGCGCGGCCCGCCAAGCCCAGGGCGACCTGTCGATGGCCCCTGTGGCCCTGCCGTGTGCCAGAGGGTAGAAACACAATTGAAAAAATCCTTGGCCACCTCCGGGGCCGCCCGGACAACCCCTCCAAGATGCGCGCCGTAAGCGTCCCAGTACGTTGGCGCCTGAGGGGCAGTGCAATGCTCGCTCGGGTACGTGGCCAGAGCTGCGGCGAGAGCACCACGCCTCATTACCAGACGGGGATGCTGCCAGAGCTGCGCCAGTTCCGATCGCGGACGTTGCTGGCGCTCGAGAGGCAACGACGTACAGACAGGGGCGTGGCCAGCGGGTCTCGCGCGGTACCGCCTGGCCCCGAGTTGTACTATGTCTCAGTGCGAACTGCCTGGTGCACCTCTGGACAGCACCTCCGCGCCCGGAAGGGCGGATTTCACCGCCCCAAAGACTGTGGCTGGTGGATGTTTCAAGCAACGCTGGCCAGCAACCTCGTGCACTGCATCCTTGCGCTCAAATCTAAAAAGGGTGCTTCCTGTGAAGGGGGCCGAACGGCTAGGCCACTTCTTAGCACAGGGGGTCCAGGGAGAGTTGCGAGGATGCCTCGTTCAAAACTGCCAGCAGGCGTGGCGGGCGGGGGCGACACATCGGGACCTAGGGCACCTCAGGCGGGACTGGCCGTGGCACCTCGTCTGCATCAGTTCTGGGCCTAGAGCTGCGCGGGCGTATCCATCGCAACCGGCGGCACCGGCTTTCGCACGGCGTCGGGCGACAGTGCAGAAGGAGCAGCCCGAATCACTGCCAGACAGGACATATGGACGCTCAGTGGCGAGGGCGTCTCCACCAACACTGCCTTGAAACCGTCGCGCGCGGCGTCTCTGAGCTTATAGCTGCGCGGGTTTCTCATGCGACGCTGCGCTGGGCTGCGTCAGCCGCTGGCTGCCCTGCGCGCCCTCCTGTTCTCCAGGGGCCTCAGGCAGTATGCGGAGGCCGACACCATTGGTACACGCCCTCCTTCTGGATGGGCGCCCCCCTGGCGCCGGAGGGGCGGGCGGCGCCGGCAAGGGGCGAATGTTGGCCGGTGGTATCGGCGGAGCAGCAGAGGTGCTGCAACACAACCCGCCGTCCAAGGATCCCCTGGGGATTGGCGGCGAAATGTCTGGGACCTGCCAGATAAGCTGTGAGTGAAGGCGACCACGTCCACGCGTGTAGTCTTCAGGACTTGTTGGAGCGTCCACGCTTCGATTTGGTCGCTGGCCTGGCGAAACATCTTCTGGGCGAGCTGTTGTGGGGGCCGTCTTGAAGGCCTGGAGGGCGAAGGCTGTGCGATTTTTGTTTATTTTTTTTCTCGGGGGGGGGGCGCGCCAAACCTTCTGCGCGGGCGCACGCCAAGCCGAGGCCGCCGCGCGGGGCCCCTGCAGTGGCTCGCCGCCCGCCGCCGTCGGCCTGTCTGTTTCAGCGGAGTTTTGCGGGACTGTCTGTGCGAGCGTCCTCGGGGGGGGGGGGCGGCAGCCGAGGGGGCGACGGCCGTGCCCCTCTCCACTGAATTGTTTGCGCCAGAGCGGGCGGGACCCCGCGAGGGAAAACATTCGCGGAGAAGAGCTAGGACAGTCTGCGTTTGGTCGAACCCTCGCTCGGGATCCCCCCTCTGTGTCTCAAAACTTCGTGGGTTGGCTTGCGGGCGGGTGCGAGAGAGCTCAGCTCGGAAAGGAAATCCTACCAGCCCTCTGGGCGTCGGTGGTTTAACGAGTTTCCTCTTCCACCCCTCCTTTTTCCCCTTTGGGGAAGGGTGTACTCCTCCCTCTGCGCGATGCTCCGACCTTGTCTGCTCGGAGCCCCTTCGGGAGGCCCTGGATTTAGCGCCCGCCTTGCAATCGCCTCGGCTCCTTCCTCCTTGCTGGCTGCTCTGCCGCCGCTGCCAGAGTCCTTTGCAGTTGTGCATGTGCGCGCCGGTTCACTGGCCTGTTGCCTCCCTTATCCTTGCCGCCCTGCACGGGCGGCTTCACTCTACGAGTAGGCACCAACAACGCGCCTCGCGCCGGGCGGCTACTTCCCCCCCCCGCGCCGTTCCATCGCCGCTTGGGCTGGACAGTCGCGCAGCAAGTTGGCAACGCCCTACTTACCACGGAAACGTTGCGGCGATGAGTTGTGGTGTCGATAATCATGGGGCAGTGTGATCCTCAGGATCACAACCCGGCGGATTTTAATCGACCAGCCTGCGACGCTTTACGACAGCATGGTGGAATGCCAGCGCGAGCAACACTAGCGCCCGCGTGACATCGCGCGCAGGTTGCGCGCAACAGTGGGCAAACCACAAAACACATCGCGAAGGGCGACGGCGAGAAGATGAACACACTTTTAGGTAAGAAGCGAGAGCGGACGCTAACGCTTCAAATAGCTGGCGGGCACATGGTGAACACAAACACTTGGGTGGCGGAATCGTCGACGCGCGCATCCGAATACACGCGGGCTGCGTGGTTTCAAGCGCAGGCGCTGCAAGGCGCGCGCACGCCATAATCTTACCACAGGGGCTTGTATGTGCATACGCACATACATCTATAGACACACACATAAATATATTCATATATATATATATATATATATATATAGTCATCTTCCTACGTGTATAAGTTTGTATACGTATTGATACACACATACATACACATGCACATATACATGTATGTGCATATTTATGCATGTATGTATGTATGTATGTATGTATGTATGTATAACATGTATAGTTATAGGTATATATATATATATGTATATATGTATGTATGTATGTATGTATGTATGTATGTATGTATGTATGTATGTGTGTGTGATCGTCCCCCTTCAAGTATCATACCTTAGGTATGTGCTCGATACCTTGCGCTTTCGCTTGTGTATCTCCTGCCCCTGCCTCAAAAATGAAGAGGATGATGAGGGACCTGTTTATTTCGAATCCGGTCTTAATCCTAATACGGCTCTGCGAAAAAAGGCGAATAATAATAAGCAACAGAGGAAGAGGAGGAAGGAGTGGCAGAAGGAGCGAAAGGTATGAAACTGGGGGTCCATATAGAAATGTATATGTATATAAACAATACCAAACATTGACCACAAAACTTCAGGGCTGCGAGCCGCATATGAGGATGTACAACTTGGCAAACACATTGAGACCAATTCTAAAGCACATGCTGCAACACATGCTGCAGGGGTACAGCTAAACATCCAGAACTGCATTTGGTGGAAGCACACGGGCGATTGCGTGCGAGGAAACCACAAGAATAGCGACAACAATTGCATCCGATTGCGTCTTCCGGTGATTCTTCTGCCAAGCACTGCCGCCCAGAAACCCAAAGACGCAAGCACCCAAGCACCAACCGAACCCCCGTCACGACAGGAAGGCCACACAATCAAAAAGCACACGTAGCAGAACAGCCCCAAAGCACGGCGCGAGCCAACCTAGCGTGCTTCTGGAGGACTGCCAAGGACCGCGTGCAATAGCAAACTAGGACTGTGCCCAGATCTGGCTGGGTTCTCAACCGTGCACATCATGTTTTCGGATCCATTACACCCGTAGTAGTGTCCGTCACGGGGATTCCTCGAACTCCCGCGAGGTAGCGCTCGTGCGGGAGGTGATCCGCCCCCCCTCCGCCCTCTCTGCGCTCTGGCGACTGTGGTATTCACATGCGGTGGTGCTCTCGGGCCATGGTGGCGCTCACACACATATGGTGGCGCTCGCAAGTACGCCGCGGTGCTCACAGGCATGTTGGGGCGTTCGCAGGTTACTGCAATGCTCGAAAACAGCTTGTGGCGATCGCACGGCATTGGGACATTGGCTGGGCTGTTGCTCATGCATCTGGCGGTCGCCCACTCTTGTGGTGGTGGCGCTGTCCGTCTTACCTCGCCGTCTAGCGGTCACGAGAGCGTTGTGGCTTTCGCAAAAACTCCGCGGTGCTTACAGGCCATCCATGTACGCTAAAATGAAACAATGGACAACGAGGGAAGAGGAGGAGGAGGAGGAGGAGGAGGAGGAGGAGGAGGAGGAGGAGGAGGAGGAGGAGGAGGAGGAGGAGGAGGAGGAGTAGGAGGACGAGCGAGGGAAACAAAGAGGTGCCCACAAACTCATAAGCAAACTTGTGGTATGTGATGTGCACAACCACGTGAGGCTCTCAAGTCCCGAGCGGTGTTCGCAAACTCCAGGGGCGCTCCCTGCCATATTATGGCGTTCGCTGGGTTTTGCCCCACTGGCAAACTATTGCCGTGAGTGCCACGAAACGTGTGAGGGGTGCGCCGAGTTGGACGTACGGAAAGCAGAGGCAGGAGGGGCAGGATGTTAGAAGGAGATGCGGGGCCGACGTGGGGGCTAGGAGTTGTGAGTGCGGGGGGTGGGGGGGGGGAGGCGAGGCGAACGAACTCGCACGTGTCAGCGCGAAGCGGCAGGGTTGCGATACTCGTGGCTTTGCAACTTGGCGGCGCCGACCAAGATTAGTGCGTCCACGGGGCGCAAAGCACCTCACGCATGGCTGTGACCGCGTCACACCGCCGCCCGACCTTCACTGCTTTCTGACAGCATGCCCATTGCAAGCGCAATCGCGAAACTTACGAGAGGCAAGCCGGTGCTACGAACATCGCGCACATGTCGCCCTCGCCATGCTCCTGGCGCTGCGACTGCAGGCAAAACGGACCACGACCGACGGCGCAGCTTTAGCACGTGGTGCAGCGACAGGCAAAGCGGCGGCTGGCCGCGGCACGTGCTTCTCCTGGGCACCGACGCGCACATTAATAAGGTGGCAGCGCGCCTGGTGCAGACATTCAACTCTTACAGCTTTGCACGGTCGCAACAAAAACTCGTGACGTCAGGCGGTTCAGGCAAGCCACACGACAACCGCGTGCGATTTTGATGCATGCCCGTTC